CGTGTCAAAGCTGAACCCTTCATAAAATGGTTGAAGGAGGCAGAAGAGGAGTCTTCTGGTGGTGAAGAAGAAGATGAAGATGAGAATATTGAGGTAAAAAGGACACTGGGAGGGGGTGGTGTTTAGCTGCTAAAGTTAAGTGCTTCAGAGTTGACAGGTTTGTGGGTAATAGATAAAACAGCTAGTTTTGATTATTTTAAATTTCAAGTTTAGGTAAACTAAAACTGACTTGATCTGGCCCCAGGCAACATTTTAAAAAATAAATAAAGCAAACCCATGCCATAAAGTTGATTCTGACTCAGACAACCCTGTGGTTTCTTTCCTGCGGGTTTCATAAGGACAAATTGCAAAGTGTGAGGGTAGGCCCATTTCAAGATAGCTTCAAGATAGGCCCATTCAGCAATAGCTGCTCCTTGGGAGAAAGATGCAGGTTTCTGATGCTGTAAAGACTGAAGCATGTGAAAGTTGGACATTGAAAAAAGGAGATCAAAGAAAATTGGTAACATTTGAATTGTTCTGTGGCAAAGAATATGGAAAAGTACATGGTCTGCCTAAAGGACAAATAGGTCTGTCTGCAAGGTGTAAGCACCTTGTTCCTTAGTAGCAAGGATGGCAAAACTTGGTCTTACGTGTTTTAGACATTTTGTCAGGTAAGATCGTGCTTGGTAAAGTGGAGGGGCAGCCACTTCAAGGAGATGGCACAAGATGGAAACAATCGTGAGGATGGTGCAGGACCAAGCAGTGTTTTACTTGGGTGCAAGATTGCTAAGGGTCAGACCAACTCAATGGTTCTCCGTGCTGTGGGGTCTCAATCCACTTCGTGGCACTGCATTGGTTCTTGGTTTGTACTTTCTGATACAGTGATAACACCAGTGTGTCTTGGAGAGGTTTTTGTTTTCTGTTATCTTACTAATCCCGTTTATTGTAGGGTAAAGGTTTTCAAATCAACTTTTTAAAAAACTTTTATAGGTGGTGTATTCGAAGACTGCCAGTGTACCCAAAGTTGAGACTGTGAAGTCTGACAACAAGGATGACGACATTGATATTGATGCCATTTAAGTGGTGGAGGCAACCTAGCTGAACAGTGTAGTGCTGCAACATTCTCCTGCATTCTAAGCCAGAAGTGCGACATGTATGTGCAAAAGCTACAATGGCTTAACATCATGCTACACTTTATACTAAAAATGTTCTACCGTGAGTGGTCTGTAATTAGTCCAATGAGACATCGACGGAGTCCATACACACCCACGAGCAGATGTAGTTTGCTTATTTATAGCATGTTTTTGTTCTCTCCCCCTCCCCCCAATGAAAACTTAGTGGTGGACCCATTTGGATCACATTTATACAGTTATAAAAATAAAAGATTTGTTTTTGGTCATTCTTCAGATTTTGGGCTCTGAATGACTTAAACAGACAATTGGCTCCTTTTTAAAATAATGCACCTTCAATCAACCTATTAAGAGTTTTCGAGCCGTTTATGAATGTCGGTGCTGAGATAACAGAATGAAAATATACACTGATTTGTAATCAGTCACCTTTTTCAGCCATTAGGAAATTTCATGCTCTTTACATTCTCTCGGATCCCTCAAATTGGCATCTGGTAATGTGCATTCTTCCCTTCCTGGGATAGACGGACTAATCTAATGACAGTGTGGCGCTCTTAGAAGTCAAATGACCCGAGTGTCCTATAAAAAAACTAAGTGCGGGTTTGAGACTTGAGTTGTGGTTTTTGTTTTTCTGTTTTAGTGTACACTAGCACTGGCCCCAAATTAGTGTTTGAGGTCTTATGCCTTGCACACTGGCTGAGCCAGGGAAACGATCACGTTAGGCAGCATGCATGTGTGTGTTGCTTTGTACTGTGGAGAATACTCCCACGGGGCATTGGTGAGGCTGGTAAATGCCAAGCTCTCTCGGGCTTTTTGGCGAAGCAGGAAAAGGTGCACTTACTATTTAGTGGGAACTTAAGTCTTTATATCCTTTTTGGCTTCAATGCACTCCCCTTGTTCAGTCTATTTTAGTCTCCTGGTTTTAGGGTTGGTTTCTTGAATGCCTCTTAAATTTATTTGGACAGCAGCTTTTGCTTTTTAGATTTTGGTTGCTATCTTGCCAAAATAACTGTTAACTGTCTTAAGACTTGATACTTCCACCCCCCTCCCACCCCCAATATCTTATTTAAAAAGAAACAAAGGTGAAAATGAGAATACTTCCAAGGCAGCCCCTGTATTGGGCACTGGACTTGGGATGGTTTTTACTTCACATTGAACATAGGCAGAGACCCGAGAAATCTGTGAGGTCGCTGAGTGCACATCACAGGCTCCCACCCATCCGGGGCATTGAATAATTATTTGCCTGATGGGCATGATCTAGATTCTGATTCTGGGAAGTCTTCCTTTTCCAGGTAAGAACCTGCTGCTTCATTCGTGTCTCCCATAGAAATTAACTAGTAAGGAGCTCAAGAATCCTAGGGTTTGCTGAACTGGAGGGAGCACACTGGCTTGTACCCGCCTCGCTGCCTGTGCAACCCACCTCACAGATTCTAGTAAGATCTTCCCCAAAAATGTATGTCAAAATTTTTTCACATTGAAATTATACAGACATTTGATACAAAGCCTTGTTTAAGAACTAGAGAGGAGCAAGAACTCACCGAGGGAAATGTCTAACACACCAAGTGTAAAGGATCGGCTCATTTGCATCTCACCTAGGTTTTCAAGTTCGTTCTTGTAAGGCCAATTGGAGATACAGGAGTTGTGCTCTAAATGCCCCAGCAAATGAGGTTCTGTTTTATTTTGGATTTTCTGTTTTAGTCTGAAGGAAAAAACATGTTCAGGGCTTATAAACACTAATGAAAAAAATCTTGGCTTAGGCAAGTGTTGAGTCTGGGGCCAACAGTCAGTGGATTCAGACTCAGGTAGCTGTGTTTGTGGGAGGTGGTCCTCAGAGTAATTCTCCACTTGTCTCCAACTGGGAAATTCCTGTTTCAAAAACCTATGTTACTTGATTAAAACAATGTTAAAACTATTTTGTCTCTGTGTTGTTAAAAATCACCCATGGTTTCTATAAGATGTGCTGAAATATATGCAATATTCTTATTTGGATTTGGGTTGACTGTTGGAATCAGTGGGAAAATTGGCAGCCCTCCAAAAAGTATACCATGTTACCAGACAGTACTGTACAGCCGAATGAAACTCCTGTGCTGTGCCGTCTTCCCAATCGTTCCAGTGTTTGATCCCATTGTCGTCACTGGCATTGTCACATTCAGGACTTTCTGCTGCCCCTACACTTTACCAGGCACAATGCCCTCCAGGGACTGGTTTCTTTTGGCAAGTCCAAAATGTGTGCGGATATGCTCAAGGCCATGCTTTCAGGGGGGGTGGGGGGGGGGTTTGTCAGGAAAAGTTTGGCAGAGATTATAGTTACGCTGTGCTTTGGCAAGCTGCCAATCAAGTGATCAGTTCTGGGCCACTGTACGCCCAGTAGCGTCTGATGTCTCTGGTCCCCCTCACCGGCAGCATTCCTAGTGGTGGGATGCTCAGATTTGTGGCTGCTGACGCGATGGCCATCTAGGAGATCCCTTAACTGTTCACTGCTTGATGTCCAGGGCCCCAGGCTTGCCAGTACAAGTTCCTAAGAAGGTGATTGAAGGCTCAACTCATCTGCAATTCCCTCCAGGTGGACTGGGGTCTGAGGAGGGTGTCACCAGGGATGCAAACTACTACAGCTGCCCCCAGGAGGAAATCCAAGGCTAGGGCAGTGGTGTGAACATTTCTTCTGGGGCTGTTATATCTGCCCATGACACTGAAGACACCCCTACCTTCTGGAGAGGTCTGGGGGTAGATGAGAGCTCAACTGGTCTTAAGGAAGCCAACTGAGGTTACCTGATGGAGCACTGGGCACAATAAGGGATGACCTGAGTAAAGGATTTTGGGGTCGGGTTACATCTGAGAACTCGGGAAACCACGTGTGTGAAACAGGACAGGCTGGGGATGTGTGTGCAAGAAAATAGGCTGTGGTGACAACGGGGCTTGGGGCAAGTTACATGAAGAGGCCATGTAGTTCAGCTGTTAAGCGGAGGGGTGCGGGAGGCTGCTCGATATGCGTTTAGAACTGAAGTCTAGGTTAGGGGGAGAGATCTGCCCTTGAACATGTTTGGGACTGCCAGAAGGATGAACAAATCTGTTTTGGAAGAACTGCGGCCAGAGTGCTCAGAGACAAGGATGACAGCCACAACATGGAGGCGCGCACGGCACCCGGGCTCATCACGGTGCTATTCATAGCAAAACGATGGGCGCAACTTAAGTGTCTGTTAGGCGGGTTCTCTATAGAGAAACAAAACCAGGATGATTTTTTATATATATATATATATATATATATGTAGGATAGGTTTATGTAGTGAGATGGAACATATATATGTAGGATAGGTTTATGTAGTGAGATGGAACACAACAGCTAGTTAGTCCACAGCAGTACAGAAAGCGTCAGTTCAACTCACTTTCGTGGAACCGTTAATATACTGAAGGCCCTTCAACTCTGGCTGCTGGTCCACGGTCAAGGAAGCAGGCAGCAGAATCTTGTCTTCAGGCAAGCCAAGTAGAATCAGTCGCAGGCAGTGGGGCAGCAACAGCAGCAAGGGAGCTTAGTGAAGCATGCCCCATGGATCCAGTCTCAGGCTCTACTGAAGCACGCATGGCAATACGTGGCAAAGCAGGTCTCAAAGGATCCTGACTCTGGTGATGCACAGCAAAGCAGCACATCCATGGCTTGGCTCAGCCCACAGGTAGTCCAGTACACAGTTGAGGCAAAGGACCAGCTCAACAGTAAGCTGGTCTGATCACTAGGGAGAAAGACAGGAGGCCTCCAATCAAGCTATGACCTGATGAAACTCCACCCACATGTTCCTAAGGCCTAGTTTTGACGCAATAAACCTACCTATCATTACGCCTATCAGTTGAAAACATGGATTGACTTGGGGATATACACAATGGACACCACCTGGCCTTAAGAGAGTTGGCAGGACACCTCATACCATGGATGAACTTGGAGGACATGCTGAATGAAATTGGTCAATCACAAAGAGACAAATATCCTATGAGACCACTGTTCTGAAAAGTCAAGGAAAGGTTTTCACACCAAAACATGCTTTGATGACCAGAGATGAAAAGTGGCCTCGGAGTGGGAGCCGGGGGGGAGGAGGAATGAGTTACTGGCTAGACAATGGACAAATCAATGTTACCTTCGATGAAGTTGAAATGAGGTTGATCAAAAATGACGGCAGGGAAGACACTGGGAGGTGTGTGAGAGTAAGGGCATCAGTGGCAAAAATACTGTTACAAACACTCCTGCAACCGTGGTCATCTCCAGGAGATGCCTGGATAGCCACGTAGACTGAGCAGGCGGGAGGAGAATGGCAGTATGCCCACGAATGACAGGGTATTTGTGGCATTTACCTTTCCTCAAATATGAAGGTGGTGTAGAATACTGGGGACTTACGAATTCCAAATACCTTGAGAGTGAGTTCCTCGGCCTGAGGGGTAAGAGCCACAGTCTCAGAAGACACTAAGGTCAATCGGCGTAATTCAATTCCCAGAGACAATGTTCCACGTTCTGCTTTGGTGAGGCCATCTAAGGTATAACTGTTGGTCTCCCATCCAGAGGAAATATGAAAATCAAAAGACATAGAAATAGGCCAGTGGACTAATAGACCCAAGTAAACATCACTCTCCACCATCCAGAGACCAGAAAAACTACAAAAATGGTTCCCAATGGCCACTACAAAGTGCTCTAAAAGGGATCACATTAGCAGGTCCTGATAGAGTAGCAGGAGCCCTGGTGGCATAGTGGGTTATGAGTCGGGATGTTAATCATAGGCCAACAGTTTGGATCCATCGGCCATTCTGCAGGAGAAAGATGAGTTTTCTACTCCTGTAAAGATTGACAGTCTTCAAAACCCACAAGGGCAATTCTACCCTGTACTATCAGATCTCTGTGCATTGGAACCAACCTGCTGGCAGTGAGATAGGGTGGGAACAAAACTCAAAATCATAAGAAAACCCAGGCTTCCTGGTCAGATTGGGCCTGGTGGGACCCCTAAAGACTATGACCCTTAGACACCCTTTAGGTTTGGACTTAGAATAACCAACCATTTAACATAAAAAGGGTAGCATTTCCCCAAGCATAACGTGCAGTGGTTAGGACAGGAGGAGGATGTGGGGGTAAGGGGAGGGTCCCCCACAAATCATCACAGGTCCGGTAGGCACAATTGTATAGCGATAATAAGTAAAGATTATAGTAAAGTCATAGCATGAGAGGTAGGAGAGAGAGTCAAGTAATGGAGTCAGACACAATTCATGGTAGCATTGCTCACCTCAGCCCCGCTTGGTGGTCCTCATGGGGGGAGCCCAGCCACGAGAGCAGGAAAGAACCCCGGGCCTGAGAGCAGGAGAGCCCCCAGGAGCGAGGACCGGGAAAGCTTTTTCTTTATTGCTGACCACGCGTTCTCTCTTTAGGGGGACATGATTACAGGTAACCCACGTCACAGGCAGGGGCAGTCCAATAGGCATACACATCATAGGAAGGGGATCTATGATAGGCCTAAGCATAACAGGAAGGGGATGAGCTAGGAGTGTGCCCAAAGGAATGGGAAGGTCTAGGGGTATACATGTGACAAGATGGGCAGACCCTAGTTTCATGATGGCAGCCTAACCTTGGTCATCCTGGGGCAGGTTTGACCTCTCTGGGGTCTCCTACAAGGAAACAGACAACCACTATCCTTATCAGAAGGGAGTGGGCCCTACTTGTTGTGGGATAAACAGTGGTGTCTGCTTGGTCTAGATGGCTGATAGCTCTTAGGGAGAATGACCTCCAAACCACTCCTGTATAGTCATTCTCAAGCAGCTGAGTCTGGCATACATTTGGGGGAGACAGCTTGAGAGAAATCCTTCTGCTTCCCACAGGGGGATGGGAACAGGAAGTGTGGGTACACTGAAGGACTGCAATGGATGAATTGAAGCAAAACTCCGGTGAGTTGTTGAATGCAAAAATGATGATTTCCTCTAAAAATCTTCACAATAAAAAGTTGTTTAAAGCAAAGGGGAATGGTACGAGTGCATCTCGCATACTTTACCCTCAACAAGATGGATGGACAGTGACTGCAACGATAGGCTCAAGAATTGTGAGAATGGCAAGCCTAGGACTGGTCAGTGTTTTGTTCTGTGCTAGAGATAAGGATGAAGAGCTGGGTTTCCATATCCATTTCCCATAGACCAACTTCTCCAAGACAACACGTTGGATCCATCTGCATCCCAAGTTCTCTGCACTGGCTATGTATAGAGGAGGTCCCCAGGGAGTTGAGAGGATGGATAGATGGCAGGAAGGAAGGGCAAATGGTTGGCTGGGTGGATGGACAGTCAGATGAGCTGGGTGAATGAGTGGAGCATTGGGAGGTGAGTGAGCTGTGTAGAGCATGCTTTCTCCCCTATGATAGAATCGTCTGTAAAAATCAGGAGAACATGCTTCTATTTCCCCTCCTGTTCCTTTTTATGTTGTGAAGGGTCATTGGGTAGATTCGGACACCTCGTGACCCTGCAGACGCCAGAACGAGATGCTTCTCAGTCCTGCCCCATCGCTAGGATTGTTACTGTCTGAGCTGGTTCTGCCAGCTTCTGTTATCAATCTGTCTTGTCGAGGGTCTTCCTCTTTTTCTCTGTGCTTTCCCCAAACGGACTATGTCATATACTCCGTACACCTCAGAAACAAACACAAGCAAGTCTGTCTTTGAAGGTCTCTACTGTTGAGTCAGAGCTGACTTGCTAGCAGTATGTATAGACTCTCTTTCGTTTAAGCCTACACATTTGTGTTCCAGGAGAGGAACACCCACAATGCATTATGTGAAGGAGAGAACAATGCAGTGTTCCTCACTCCCCTACAGGAAGTCCAAAGACATTTACTGGCTCAAAGTATTCTGGATCACAAAGTTGCGAAAACTCCGAAAATAACTAGCGCCAAATGTGGCTCGTAGTTTA